ATATGGGTGAATAAATCTACAAAGAGTACAACTATCACCTATGATATGGAGTTTATGTATAGCCTGATCTCAGAGTTAGGGCCTCAAGTATGACAGACAACATTACTCACAAGCTATAAACCAAGGTGGCCTTCTGGAACTGAATCTAAGCCATTCATTTTAAGTCAACACCTAGTTGACTCACTAACATCTCAGCAAGGCAAGCCTGCAAAGCAGAACTGCCATGATACTGAGCCACGTGTGGTACCATGTCCCACATTCCCCACAGGAGCCGACTGATGGGGCTTCTTCTCCTGGTGCCCTCCCTAAGCAGTAAGTGACCAGGCACAGGTTGAGCTGCTTTCCTGGTCCCCATCTCAATACAGAACACATTCATAATTCAAATAAGATCTTTTCCTGGTCAGAAAAACTCAGAGGACTGAGGAAGTCCTCACAGGACTGAGGAAGCCGTGGATATTCATMCACCTTGTCGCAGGGAAGCCCCACAGAAGGCTCAGGAAATCTCCCTGGGGTTCTCACTGCAGGGATTTTACACAACTACCCAAACAGGGTGGCTCCACTCTCAAGGTTTCTCTGTGGTTTTTACATAGTATGGGTTAAATATTCTCAGGTTGCTGCAAGGTCATGTTTTTTAGTTGGAGAAGAGAATTTAGGTATAGTGGTATGAAATCTGCGGCAGCTACAGAGTTGGGTCACATTTCTCTATTATAAGGTAACAAGAAACAAATACTCTTACCATCTTTTAGAGTCAAATTATTCCAATACTACTGACATGCAGAAAGGAGGAAAGGGACATAAACATGTGTAGTCTGAATGTGAACACTGTGCCTTCAAACTGGAAGGCTGCATCACACTGAAAATTCTAAAGCAGGGCAGGAATCTGATTGTGCAAGGATATGTCACCATGAAAGACAATGTAAAAAGTCACACCAGTACTTAGGCAATGAATTGTCAAGAACAAATGATTCCATTGCAGATAATTTCCTAATCACTTATAAGCACAGTGACTCCTCAAAAGCTTCTTTTGGAAAGTGCTCCCCCATTCGCTTTCCCCTGCTGTGTTCTGAAGATTTCTGACCAACACCCAATGGCATGAACACAATTCTACAGAAATAAATTGTCATTAGTTCAATAATCAGCTCACCAAGGATGTGTGTGAGTCAATACTCCATGTGCCATGAGCTCAGAGCAGAGGTTAGTATTAAAACACTAATTAATGTTCTGAAAATCCTGTATGATGGCAACCACAAATTAGTTATCACCAAGGTTAGGAAATTGGAGACACAAAAAAATCCAAATCTAAATTTAAAGAAAAATATTACTGTTGCTCTGACCTCAARGCTCAAGGTATGCTGTTAAACCCAAAAGATTCATATAATGGAACATTTCTATTCAGCAAACCATCTTAAGGATGGTCTTGATGCACCATAAGAGGTAATGCTCAGAAGAGGAACACTCCTAAGTGTAACAGAAGAAGAATACAGGTAATGAAGTCTACGTTAGGTACATATCATCTTTACTGTTTTCTGTTTGTGATTCAAGTTTGCTTCCCTCCATAAAATATGGTTACTAAGATTCTCCTAATTCATTCTTTTACAAAAAGTGGAAACTGCTGTGAATAGAGTTTGCTCATAGTATACTCAGTTAACTGGTTTTTTTCAGGTCTGTGAATTTTGCCTTTTAGTTGGAGAGGAGAAAATGTCCTCCAGATGGCTGGCTGAAGGACAGGGAGACTCTCAGAAGCCAGAAAGTGCATCTTGCTACACTATGTTCCTTTGATTTGCCACATTCAACCACAGTMCACTATTTCATCCCCAAATCATACAAGGCAAAGGCCACCTCATCACACAGAGCACTGAGGGTGTGTGTCTTCTTGAACTTATGAAATTATGAAATTCCACTGCAACCCAAAGGCAGAGGCAGTCTCTGCACGAGGGTGGGGGTAACTGCTCACAAATCTCAGGGGAACTGGGAATCCTGAAGGCAGCCAACCTTCTCAGCCCTGCCCAACTTCCACCCAACAGGAAGGAGTYCTCCTTGACTCTGGTAGGATATCTTTTCCTATCTACCTGTTTCACCTCTCCAGTCTGTCAGTTTCCCAGGGGCACCACCAGTATCTGGCAGGTCTCTGAATTCCAACAGTCCCTGACATTGTATCTGTTATAAACACTGTATTTACTGATCCATTGCAAATTTGATAAACCTGTCTGGAAGTCAATTCTTTAATTTTTTTAAAGTTTGTTCTTTTTAGATATACATGACAGGAGAGTGTACTTTGACATATTATACATACATGGAGTATTCTAATTAGGATCCCATTCTTGTGGTTGTACATAATGGAATTTCATTGATGGTGTATTCATATTATAAACACAGGAAGTTATGAAACTCAATTCTTACATGTACCTCTGATGGTAAGAGAAACAGTTTTTTTTAGAACTGTTTTTCAAAATTTTACTTCTGATACAGATCAATTTCTACCCAGACGTATAATTAGGAATGTATAAAGGATATATAGACAGAAGTGTTACTCTATGTCTATCAGAAAAATATGACACCAGATCCTTCATCTTTCCAGTTAAAATGTGTAGTGTCTTAAGGAAATACAGACCCCACAAGGAACTGGCCCCCATGGCTTATTTAGCCACATTTCTAGAACCTTTCCATTCTTCTTTCCTTAGCTTTTTTATTTTTACTAGCTACACCTCCAGGTAGGCAGTACTATTAAAAGATGTGCATGGTCATTACCTTCATTAATTAATGTCCGCCAACGATGCAGGTTAATCTGTACTGCAGCATTTGCTCAAAATGATAAAATACCTCACAGAAGGGAAAAAGAAATGCCAATGTCCCAGGGATATTCTTTTTAAATAAAAAATGGAATAAATATAAACCTCAGAGTCAAGTGGAATAAAAAAATGACAATATCCTAAAAATAAGTGAAAACAAAAATAGACTCTTTTCCCCCAAATCCTGTGGTTTCTATTCCATGCCTGCAGGATGTTTTCTGTCCACTTACAAATCCCTCTCCAGAGCCCCAGTCACTCTCACTGAGAAGTGAGAGTTATGTTCTGTTTGAGAAGTGGACTCCATGGCACCTGCCAAGGAATCCAGGTGAACTCCAAAGGCAGCTGAACACTCGGGCACAGACAGTTTGTTGGAAAGCGGGGAAGAGAACAGTGGGTTTTGATGGAGCTGAGGAAGCTACATAGCAGAGACAGAGAGGAGAAGGGGGTTTCTCTGGAGTAATTCTGCCCAAATCTAAGGCAGCCAAGAATGTTCTTGAGAACAGAAGAGGGGACACCTACAAGGTGCTCCCTGGGTGTCCTTGGCAGTAAGTAATAAGAGAGGTACATCTATTCTCAATGGGGACACACAGGCAAGGACTAGAATCAGGCCCTGACCAGGCCAAATTTAAGAGCTGATAGGAAAGATTTGTACACATGGAGAAAAGGGACAACAGTAAAGAATGACACCCTAAAAGGGAACAGATTCGTAAAGTGTAAGTAACCTGATGAGCCATGGTACACCAGACACGGGCGGGCTGCAGGCCCTACAAGAAATCTTCCGGGCAATGGCTCACCTTGAAAATGAAACTAGTCAGAAGTAAGCAAAATTGATACAGAAAACTGTTAAGTCTGCTATTTCTTATTTCTGTTGAGAGAAACAGACGGTATTCAGTGTGCCAGACCCTTACTATGCACTATCTCATATTAATCACAAAGGAATCCTGAAAACTAGGTAAATAGCTCTATTTCACTGTTGGAAAATAAACCGTGGCACAAGGTTACATGAAGACTACAGGGCAGATCTCGGGCTTGCCAGGCGGGGCTTCTTGACCAAAGCCCAGTGCTTCTGATATTCAACACTATTTACACACAAAATTATTCTTAGAGGCCAAACATACTAAATATTTTAGGCTTCATCTAAACTGCAACACTGTAATCTGTGTTGCAGTCACTGTGTAAAATGTAGAAGCAGCCACGGAGAGCATGGTGGAGGCCACAGCTGCTCTCCAACAAAACAGGCGGCCAGTTTGCCRACTCTCAACATGGAACAGGGGAAGGCACACCACAATCCTGATCCAAATCCAACACTCGACCTGTTTTTGTGAAAGCTTTGCTTATGACCTAGATCTAGTTCATCAACTGGACTATTTCTAGACAACTGAAGGATAATTTGCCAAACCACAATGTTCTGGTTTCATGAAAGGATCTTTGGAAGTGTCCAAGATGCTTAATCCAAGATCTGTTCCAATCTTCCTTCACAAGCAACATTCTGATTCCTAATCTGTGGTCTGCATGGCCCAGCCCCACAGGATAAACACGGGGAGCACTACTGGTGACCTCTCACTGCTAAGGAACAGAGATGTTCTTCGTCATCAACCATACAGTGACTCAGTTTCTGGGAGACTCAGTACCCTTGGGGCACTAAAAAAAAAAAAAAACAAAGAAGAGATTCTTCACTTGAAAAGATGTTGAGAGAAGGAGCTTGTGGTAACACGACAACTAACTAGTTAATTTAACCACTTAAATATGTTACTGAGTGCCTACTCTGTGCCAAGCAGAAATCTGCAGGAACTTCAGACTGAAAATACTGACTCGCAGCACCTGAGTGAACACTTTCCACGGAGCAAATCTTTCAAAGACCTGAGTGAGAACATTAACCATTTTCAAGTWAGTAGACAGACACAGACAAACGGTGTTGCTTTGATAGCTACTGCAATAAGAGCCCCGAGACAAAGAACTTGGCTTCTTGTCAAGAATAGCAGCCACAAGAGCAGAACCCATAAGCTCTGAGAGGGCAGGGACTATGCCAGGCTCACTGCTGAGTTTTCAGCATCTGGCTCAATGCCCGGAAACAGCAGGGGCTCCAAAGATATTTGTCGTCTATATTACTATGGATTAYCTCTGTGGCTTCTGACAAAGTAGAGTGGGAACAGCCCAGCCCCCAAGTCACATCTCCCAACTCTCACAGTAATCAGATCAGWATCTCCATACCTGGATTGTCTGGTAATCAGAAGCATCGATTCCTTTCACAGTCACCTCTCTGAAAACTCTGGGCTCCAGTTCCTCTTTGGTAAGATCACAGTGATAAATGATACCTGAAAGGAGAAGTCCTGGATTAGTCCACAAGATTCACCAACAGAGACAAGGGCAATGAGGGCCACAAAGCACAACTGTGTGCCAGGCAAGGCAAGACAGGAGAAGACTCAGGGTCCCAGTCAATCACTACTGAAACAGAAGGGTCACTGTCCCAGAAAGGGTGGACAACAGAGATTGGCACAAGGGGTGTCCTGTGAGAGTTCACCCTCCTCCTTACCCTTGAATGCCACCCCTCCTTCTATAACACTACCATGAGCACACACCACTTAAGATTCTAATGCACTTTGCAAAACAAGAAAGGGTAAAACACCCAACTGTGGAAACTTAACATATTATTTCTCCAAGCAGGTCACTTAAAAGTGCAAGACAAAAAAMCCCCAGAAACTTCACCTGGGGCCTTCTGCCCAAAAGGCAATTGACAGAAAACTCCAATGACTTGCCCAAGATTAACAGCCAGTCAGGCTTCTCTCGAAGCGTACCCTGAGGCTCCTGCTACTTGCCACTTACTTATCCTGGGACACACATACCGATAGCTAGAGGGGGCCAAAGGTGATCATAGTCACTTTGGAACTGYTTTTTCAATTTTGATGATCTCAGTAGCAACACAAAGTGATTAATATACACCAAGAATTTCAGCTTATTTAACCACTAATTAAAATTGCATTTCCTGAATTTAATGCTACTCTCTAACATTTAAGAACGAAATCAAAGAAACAATAAGTAAGACCAGCCATTAATGTCTGCAAACAATGGCACTGCTGTGGTTTAGGAAACAGAATTAGAGTGGCTGGTGTGAAAACAGTACTTTCCCACATAATGCTTTAAACATATGCTGTCAAGCATATGAAAAATTGATTTTGTGATCCCAGTACTTGCTGGAAAACTGGAAACCAAACGGTACTCCCCCGGGGCACATTTAAATTGACTGATCATGCATTAAAATGGCGACACACTCTTTCTTCCAACTCCTCTGTGTATGTACCTCACTAACAGCTAARAAACAATACTCTGCCCCCCACTGGCAAGGAGTAATATATTTATATTCATTAACAGCATGACAGCTAGTCTATATCAATGTATTTCAATTCTTCTGCTTATAAACTATTTCAAGGTTACTAAAATTAGATGTCTGGTAACACTGGCAGTAAGAAGACACATAACATGACTAAAGTATTGACTTTCTTAATTTAAGTCATATTTGGATTATGTCATTTGCAGGAAAATGGATGAAACTTGAGAGCATTATGTTAAATAAGCCAAGGTCAGAAAAGTCAAGGGTTGGATGCTTTCTCTCATACATAAGCTAGAGAGAAAGAAAAGGAAAAGAAAGGTGGGGAATCTCATGAAATCAAAGGGAGATCAGTAGAGTACAGGAAGGGAGGGAAAAGGGGAAATATTGGGGAATGATATTGGCTAGATTCTATTGTTATACAGTGTGCATATACAAATATGCAACAACAAATCCCACTATTACGTACAATCATAATGCACCAATAAAAATATTTGGATATTCGTTAGAATACAGCTTTATATGTAACGTACCTCTAAGCACACTCGGCACCGCAGGCCGATTAACTACATACACTGAACACTGTTCTTGACTGTATAAATGTAATCTGGAGAGCAAAAGGCTCTCTTCAGACACACTTTAATTTTCAAGAGCTTTTTGATCAGTACCTAGGACCCATCGCAAACACAAAAAGCACCTAAATCCTTGAAAGAAAGTCTCCAAACAAACAAAAAGAAGACAGAGTGCAGCCCAYGCATGTGCCATTTGAGCACCTGATTCAGCTTCGACTTTCCACAAACTGTAGTTCAGAAAATGAACTTAGGAGGCAGAATTGTCGGCTCAGTGACCTCACCCAAGTCACCCAAGTACTAGAATGCAAATCCTTAATGAAGGATAAGGAATAGGAGATGGCACTCTTCATGCTTGTTTATCTAGAAAGGTTAAGATGTCAACTCCAACAGCTGCAGGAAGTAAACAAATAACAGGGGCTGATCATTATTCAAAGAAAGGGTGTCAAATACTGTTTCTATTCTGTGCAAGGGTACACAATGGGTCCTGGAGGGAGACTGGGTTAAACCKGAAGGAACCAGTCCTTAATACATTTTACTAAAGCTTTATATGTATCAATCCACCTGGGTTAGCCCAGGCTAGCCCACTGCACATTCACACCATAACTGAAGCACTGTGACCTGCTGATGCTGGTGTCCTATCTGATTTGGCTCTATGGGGGAAAGAACAAAGAAGATGGAGTTTGAAGGAAACATTGTAGAATCATGAAGAACAGAACCAGTTAGATGCTCTCTGGGCAACAAATGTCAAGGTTTAAGGCTGAAAGAGAAAATTGGATTATGGAATTTCCTTAGGGCCAGAAGTCGTCTCTAGACTTGAGATAATTCCAGATGAAAACAGCACTTCAACAAGGCCATTCTGGCAGTGGGACGGAGGCAGGTAGATCAGCCGGCATGTCCCTAGTATAATCTGAAATAATGGAAGGAGGGAGGCACTCTAGGGGAAGTGCACAAGAAACCAGGGGAGTCTTGAAAGCTGCTATGTGGAGGGAAGGCAAGGGAGGTCTGTAGACACCAGTTTATCCGATTACAGTTTGGGTTTAATGCTATTAAAAGAAAACAAGTCCCCTAAAAAGTTCCTGTCTTTCCCAAACAGCCTGTGAAGGCTTTTTAGATTTCATCCCTGCCTCCCAGAGCCATGCCTGTGGCACTCCTGTCCTGGATTATTAAAAGAGGCACATCTCTCTGGAGCTAACCTTGGGCAACCCCCAGGGTTCCCCAAGCACAGAATTAATCAGTTCAACTGCTAAGAGGTTTGAGCTACAGAGAATCAGTGCATCATACTACAAATTGCCCTGGCTGCCTGTTTTCTCCCAAGTGTGACTTAAGGTGCAAAAGTCACAAATGGCCTTGGCTCAGGATGCATCTTCTCCATGTACCTCCATGGGAAACAAGATTAGCTGGCATGCACCTGCCAGATGTACCTCATATTCACAGCGGGAAACTGGGGCTATACTTATTTGTGACCCTGAGGCTTTACTTATAATTCGTGTCTCTGCTGTTGACTGTATGTAGTGAACGGCTAATCTTCAGAGGCCAGCATGTGTGTGCATGACGTGTATATACACACACTGACAATTCTTCCTTTTCTGAGATAGATTTGAATTATCTGACTTTTTTTTCCTTTTCACCTTAGAAGGTCTGAGTCTGAAAGCCCCTTTCTCTGGTTTTCGATAACAAGTTGCATTTAAGAAGAAAAAGAGAGAAAGATGGAGGCAAAATGATGAAGAGACAAAGGAGACAAAACAAGCATTACAGTAACAAATTAAGGCTTGTTTGGAAGCTGCCTGGTGCTACAGAACCAGGAACACACTTCTCCTTCCAGACTTCACAGCCATAGTCATGGGTAATATTTCTTTGTTTGCACAGAACCCATCATTTTATACTAGGACAATGAGCCCTTTCTTCCCCTAGGTTATGATGAGCTTGTCCCTGAAATAAATGGCCACATGGGGTCACTGAAGGAGTTTTATAGGCCTCTGGGGATGCTGGCTTTCATTAACAGCAGGTGAGTCACCCCCTCTCCCCTGGCCTGTGCTCTTCTTTGCTCTTTATCCATTTAAACCGTTCAAGATATGAGATTTTTCCAAAGTAAAATTTTGGGAACCAATATGAGTTTGAGGAGATAAATGTGGCCCCTGCAGCAGTGGGGTGAGTGTGGTCATCTGGAGAAAATGGATTCTTCCGTCAGCTCACTGGCTGCTGCTGCCCTCCAGGCTCCAGGCAGAAAAGGGAAGAGAGGGTAGGGGACACAGCCAGACAGGGAGTTCCGACTCCAGGCCTTGGGCATGGTTTCCACATGCCTGGGACTCTTTTCCCAGCCACCCCCCCACCCCAATCTTCTGAAAGGTGTTTGGGAAAGCAAAGCCTGCCAGGTCTACTCTCAGACCTACATCATTCTCTTGGTTTTAATAACCCTGACAGCAACCTGTCACCACGATAAGATTTCTCATCCATTGCCAGCTCTGTGACTCAGAGGCTCAAAGGAAAAGTGGATGAGGCATTACTGTGATCTGGCCAAATCCCAGAGGAGGATGGAGGTACTTGCACCTGCCGAACTCTCTCCTGCAACTGCCTAATTCTCTAATGAACCAACAACTGCAACAAAATCAGGTGGGACAAAAAGTGCCGAAGGAGCTTGACAAATAAATAAGGAAAGTRCAGACATTTTTCAGCCAGATTGCTTTTAAGACAGGATCTGCCTGGTCAGTTGCAAATTGCCATCTAAGCCAGACTCCTGGGGACAAATCACAGAATGTGTACAGCTGTGACTGTATACCAACAGTACAGTGGAGTGGTAAAGGAAAAAAAAAAAAACAACAAAAAGCAGAAAACTTGAAAAAGAAAATTCTTTTAGCCAGGTGTGGTGGTGCAGACCTGTAATTCCAGCTATTCAGGAGGCTGAGGTAGAGGATCATGAGTTGAAGGCCAGCCTAGGCAACTTATTGAGACCTTGTCTCAAAATAAAAAAATCTTACAAGTGTACTTCCTTTCCCACTAGAACCAAAATAACACACTTTTTTTTTTCTTAAGGTTAAGACTAGAAGCATATTTTAAATTAGTTTACCAACTGCCACATTTAATAATGCTGGGGGGCTACAGGTATTATGTTTTATTTTTGTTACCTGCACTCTGTGTCCTTGTGGACTGGATAGACCAAAAGGCTGAACTGAGGGTGATATGTATTGGCACCAATTTTTAATCAACTTAGAACAATAGTTGTTCCCGTCCCCAGAAGAACAGACTCAGAATACAAGATCTATGAGGGTGCACTTTTAGGTGTTCACATTTTCCTTTGTTCTGAGCATCTATTTTAATCTTTTATTCCCATTAAGTAATCTGGGCTACAAAACAGCCTGTGTGATTTGCAATARYAGCACTGTATTTCCATTTACCAAAAGAAATCCCTTGTCTGATTTTTTTCAAGTGACTAGCAGTGAAGAGACCCTCACCTGGAGATAAGAAGGAAGTGAACTGGTAGAAGATCTCAGTGTCCTTTTTCTGTCCGCTGTACCCCACGATGCTGCCGACCTCGAGCGGGAAGGTCTTGAGGAGAGCACCGGTGGTCAGGTCGTGCAGCTGCAGAATGTTCTTCACGTCGTGGAGGTAGCACAGGACCAGGAAGTTGGACCTGACACAAGCTACCCATTCTGAAAAGGCACAGAGGGAGGAGAAAAATCCAATGACTTGAAATTAAGTGAAAGATTTATTAATTAATTGAACAGCACAGTTCTAGAGCTCTCCATGGTGCTACTGAAGCAAAGAGACATACAAGAGTCATTTTATAATTGATTTTAACCATTCATCTAGTTTCAGCCGATTTCTCTAATAAGTGATTATAACGGATATGTTCAGAGGAAACAAGACATCCTCCACCTGGGGTCAGGGCTTGCGATGACAAACAACCCTGCTGCTATGGTTTGCATAAATGTCCCCCAGAGCTCACAGTGGAAGGTTTGGTCCCCAGTCTGTAGCGCTGTTAGGAGGTGGTGGAATTTGAGATGGGGCCTAATGACAGGGACTCAGGTCCTTGGGGTGTGCCCTTGAAGGGGATACTGCACTGCCTCTCCTTCTCTCTTTTTGCTTCCTGACTACCATGATGTGAGCAACCTTCTCTCCATGAACTCCCACGATGATGTGCTATTTCATCACAGGCCAGAAGCAATAGGGTCAAGTGGCCATGGACTGAAACCTACTAACTATTAGCCAAAACAAACGTTTCATCCTTATAAGCTGATTCTTTCAGGTATTATGTCATAGCAATGGAAAGCTGACTAGCATACCTTCCTACATATTTTGTATCCAACATCAAGCTGTGGGGTGAGGTAGAAAGAACAAAAATTGAATTGTGAGTCATGTTTGAAAGGGTTGATGATTTGACAAGAATGTATGAAGTCCTTGGTTTATATAAGATACCCAGACACTCTGCAAGGTCCCAGAGCGATAAGTAGGAAGATGAGGTCATTTCTATCCTTGAGATACAGTCCTAAAAATACAAGTAGTAAAATGTAGACCAAAAGTAAGTGGTTTATGGAGGGGCCAAAATAAGTAAATCCTTAAGCAGGGTTGAAGTCTATCTTAAGTACAGGTGTGTAGACATGGGGGTGGGGTGTCAGAGGGGTTAACAGGGAAAGGATACCTTTCTAGGGGAGAAGGTGATGGAAATGCATGAGACTCAAGGAAAGAAGGGCAGAGTGGAGAGAGAGAGGAAAGAATGACGAATGAATGAATTAGCAGCTGGGAGGCTAGAAGGGAGGAAGACTAGTAAGCTGTTCAGTTCCGTGGTGGGTGGTGATGCTGGTGGAGGTATGATGGGGCATGTGGATGGCAGGTAGAAGGGAGTTCAGTCAGCTGTTACTGAGGAGCCACTGAACAGAACGGCAACATAAGACAAATTCATAAAGGATGTGTCTTTTTATTTTATTTATTATTCACTTTTTGTGACTTGATCTCCCTATGTTGCCTGAGCTGGTCTTTTTTTTTTTTTTTTTTTAACGGTACTGGAGATTGAATCCAGGGGTATTCTACCACTGAGTTATACCCCCAGCCCTTTTTATGTTCAGACAAGGCCTCACTTAAGTTGCTGAGGCTGGCTTCAAACTTGTGATTCTCCTGCCTCTGCCTCTTGAGTTGCTGAGATTATAGCTGTGTACTATGATGCTCCTCTCCAAGGATGTAAGTATCTGACAGTTGAATGCAGAATGGAAGTCTACAGAAGGATGGAGGGTAGTGTGAACACTAGTACAACAAGCCAGTCAGAACTCTGGGGATAAAGCAGAGTTCACAGGGAAGTACAGAACTGAAAGGCACTAACTTCCCAAGAAGAATCATAAGGCCTTGCTGACTGCAGGGATGGGAGAGTGGGGTACAGAAATGACTTCTCCTCAACTCCCAGGATGGCAATGGGCATTGACAGTGCTCAGTGGACAGTGCTCCTGGGACGGGAGAGGTCAGCGAGGGGATGAGAAAAGGGGAAAATAGAACTGCAGGCACAGAGCTCAGCCTGGGGTAGGGCAGGCCATCCAGAGGGAGGGATGCTGTCACCTGGAAGTAGGCTAGGGCTGCAGGGAGCAGTTCAAGCATGTTGAAAAGCCTTTCTTGGGTTTCATGGTGGGCTTCTTGACACTGTTTGCTTTCACAACCCAAGAAACCAGCCATTCACACTTACAATGTTATCATTTACCCACATGAACATTCCCCAGAGGGAACTCTCAGCTCACCAGGGTTCCTAATCTGGGGTTGCCTGAAGAACCAAGGCAAACTTTTCCTCAAGTAAGGATATAAAGCAGTCTCACAACCCAAGGCGATTTGCTCATTCTCTAACAGGGCTTTCTTTTTAAGAGCACCTGAATCAAGCAATACATTTCACAAGTCTTAATGTTTTTTTTTTAATATTTTTTTGGACTTTTATTTATTTGTACATGCTGTTGAGAATCGAACCCAGTGCCTCCCACGTGCTAGGCAAGCGCTCTACCACTAAGCTACAACCCCAGCCCCACAAGGCTTAATGTTTTAAAGAGAGAAAAGTATGGGAAAAAACTGAAGTATATCACAGCTGTCAAAGAAGAGTCAATCTGTGTTAACTATGAGTACATCAGAATTACAAAGCAGACAGTGAATAAGAAAAGGACAAGGAGATTTGCAGACTGTCATTAATAAAAGCTCTGACTTTATAGCTGTACTTTATGACTCATCTCTAGTTTTTATTCTCGGTAGGGCATTCTGTGCTAATGATATATAGCAAATTCAACTGTGCTTCTCTTTTGAGTTGATGAGTTCTAGTGAATATTGAAGATTTCCCCTTTCCGGTCTAAAGAACTTATAACCTTTCAGAGGAAGGTTAAAAAAAAAAAAAATCACCCCTCCCAACTCCAACAATTAATTTGCATTTCACTAGATCAACCAATAAGAGAGGATGCCACCTTAAGGCAGTTAAAAATCCCCTTTTAAGCTTTAGGTGGCAGAAATTCAGATGCCTTAGGAAATATTTACAACATCCAAGATGGCTTGCGCTATAGGAATCACTATTCCAACCTGATTTGCACCTACAAAGCACCAGGGTACTTACATGGAGACTTATATCACCCTAGTCTATCTGACCCCACCAACGCAAGCGTCAATGCACCTGGAGCCGAGTGCAGTCTGGCTCTCAGGGAGCTCTGGCTATGGGCTGGCTGTGACTATCCTTATGGGAATAGTCCTGCCTCAGTGTGGAAAAAGCCATGGGCCTTTCAGAGTGAGTGACTTATTCCAGGACTCATGGGACCCTAATCCAAATACAAAAATGGGTCAGAGTGTAAAGAAGGTTTTCAGGAGACAGATGAGATGATTTGCTAAGAGCGAGCACTTGCCACGCGTCTCCCTTCCCACTGGGGAAAGAGTGGCAGGGTTACTTCCTTCTACTGACCCCAGCCTGAGAGAGATAAAGTACTGGTGCCTCACTGAAATCAGCGAAATGATGGGGACATGAACTGGAAATCTAGAAGGCAGAAGAGCTGGCTAACAATAGAAGAAGAGCCTGGGATGGTCTGCAGCCTTGGGGTTGCGCATGGGGACTTTGTAGAAACAAGCAGGCAACGGTTGTTTTGGGTCCTCTCTAATAAAACTGGCTGCAGGGGTGTGAGATCTCAGTGCAAGAGGGTGGCAGGGTATGGTCAGATACCCAGGGCTGAGGAGAAGCTCAGGCAAACTAATGCTTCCTCCAGAACCAAGAGAATTATGCAAACAAGGGCCCAGCAGTAAGTGCCCACAGGAAAAGGTGACCCTGAGAGTCAGCTGTAATCATCTGCAGTTCACTCCAAGCAATGGCAAAACTAAATACCTGCCAGGCACAGAGAACACATCACYGTCAGCCAGTTAGAAAGAGTCCCTTTTGAGTCCAGGACACGAACCTAGACCTGCCTGACTCCAACACTCTACTTTTGTTCACGAAAGCCAAACAGCAGGACTACTTGTTCTAACACAGAGCGTTATGCAGGCTGGGTATGTGTTTTCCGAATTATAGAACACACACCTTTGCATTTCAGAATGGTCCTCGTATTCTCATTCGGTCCATCAGTAGAAGTTCACATGCAACAAATAAGCTGTGTTGGCCTAAGAATACTTAACTCCCCTTTGTATTTTTTTTTTCAAAAAAAAAAAAAAGCTCCCAAGTTAGTCAATCTTCTAACCAAATTAAGCTTTCATGCAATAAATAATTTATAGAACAGCATATCATTTTGGAAAAATCAGAGAAAATGAATAAAAGGGGATTGAAAGGCACTGTGGGACACAACTAATATAGAAGGTAGGTTCTCAAGAGGTTAATGTGGTTCAGTACACAAAACAGTAATTACAATGGTTTTCAATTAAATCTGACAATAGTCTATTTTCTAATAAGAGGGCTGTAAACCCATCTGCAGATCAACAACAGGTATAATGCAAACAGCAGAAGATTATTCAAAAGCTTAAAGCCCAGGGTTGTGAACCTAAACAGTTCAAGAAATTAAATGTTGGTGATTATCATCAGACAATAAGAAAACTGCTATTTAAAAAAAGTAACACTTTTAATAGTCTGAATTCATACCTTTATGATTTTTACTCTGCATTTCCACATGATCTCATAGTAAGCTACCAAGGTGTCACACAGCAAGGATTTGGATGTACTATTCAGATAATTTATTCCTGATTAGAGGTCAAAGGTTCTTTACCTTGTAACCAGTCACCAGAGAATGAGATGCACCAACCTGTTAGTGTTCTCACCAAAAACAAAACACGAATTTCAAGTGGCTTGTGATCTTACCCAAGACATCTTTCTCGTGCTCGGGAACAAGCACTTTCCACTTAGACTCGTCAGGATCCGTGAAGTCAATGTTGATCAGGCGATAGTTGGGAGAATGGCGATTCGTCTTGAATGTGAACACTGTCCCCTCATTAGTGACATAGTCATATTCTCCTTCAAAGTTGTCGATTAGTTTCACCCACTTCAGGATTCCTGGTGAAGAACAAAACACTCCCATCACCATCCCAATGTCAAACAATGATGTAGGTTTGTTTATGGAGGGGGGATGTTTTCTATCTTCAGAACACGAGGCAGAGAGGATATCTGGAAGTTCTAAGGCACGAGAAAGAGGAAAGCGGCCCCTGAATAGGCTAGCGGTGAGGGGAGAGAAAGAACCTCCCCTACCCCAATCCACTGGGAAGACATCGATTTCAAAATGTATCTGACATAAACGATCAGAGAATATCTCAAAAATTTTATAAACAAGAAAGTTCTTTGACTTTAAACTACTGAAAGGCCAAGATAGATAGATCTGAGGTATCTCTAATCGCCTTTCAATTTCACAGTGAAATTGCTACTTTCACTTGGATAGTTCAATTATATTCCTTGTGTCTTTCTTGAGTACTTTACATTCATGATCTCATTCACGTCCACAGCATATCTTTATATAATATGTTGTTTAGTAAAACTTGTTAGGGAAAATACACTTTTACCATAGAGAGTTCTGTGTCACACATGTTACAGTTAAAACCCCAGCTTTTGGGCTGGGACTTGAGCTCACTAGTAGAGCACTTAGCTAGGACTCACAAGGCCCTACGTTCAAATCCCCAGAATCACTAAACAACCCAGTCCTCTCAATATTTAGCTGTGTGTCTTTGAGCCATCTTTTTATCCTCTACGAAGACTCATTTCTTTTCAACTGTCAACTAGAAATACTAATGGAATGTGAAAATTATAACCATGACTACTAGTACTTAACTCCATAGTAAAATGCAAATTATTTCTAAGTAAGTGATTGGAACTGAGTCTAAGAAAGACCAGTAGTTTAAAAAAAAAAAAAAAAAAAAAACACCCCCCCCCAAAATAAACCACTATAGCGTTTCTATATTCTAGCAATAAGCAATTAGAAAATGGGGATGAGTATACCTCATTTACAACAGAAGCAAATATAAAACACCTAGGAATGCATTTAACATGAAATGTTGTCTATATAAAAAAAATCTCTAAAATTTTTCTAAGAAAACTTAAAAATTAAGAACATATAGAAGGAAAATTATTACATTTTTGTTCATAAAAGGAGGAAATTCTTACACCCTGATATTCCAACCAAGTCCTTCACATCCAGTAGGAAACCATCCTCCTGACTTTGAGAATTTCTCACTTTTCTTTGTACCTTTTCTGCCGTCATTTGCATCCATAAACACCAGAGCTTTGCCTCATTTTTTGAACTTTATATAGAATGAAATCATAATTCATATTCTTTAGCATCTGACTTCTTTCACTTGACATTATGTTTATGAGATTATTCATCTTTTGGTTATTGCTATTAACTGTTGGCTAAATCTTACTGGGCTTAAAAAACACTTGGTATTAATTCAGTCTTTTAAAATTTATTGAGAAAAGCTCTGTGACCTAATTTTTTTAAAAAATTGTTTTTTAAGTGTTCTGTGTACAACTGCAAAGAAGGTTTGTTCTGTGATAACTGGGTATGATTTGCTAAATATGCCTCTTGGATCATTTGTTAATTATAGTGTTCAAATCTTCCAAGTATTTACTGATTTCTTTTTGGCCATTTGTTCTATCATAGCTTATTTTTAAAAATGCCCCTCTGCAATGATCAAGAATGTGAACAACAATAAATACAGGCAAGGTTGTGGTGAGAAAGTAAACTTGTACATTTTTGGTGGGACTGTAGACTAGTACAACCACTCTGAAAAGCAGTTTGGATTCCTCAGAATACTAGGGACAGAACCACCATATGAACCAGTTATCCCACTCCTTGGTATTTTCCCCAGAGATCTAAAATTGGTATACTCCAGCAATACAGCCACCTCAATGTCTATAGCAGGACAATTCACAATAGCTGAATATGGAATCAACCGAGATGCCCATTAATAGATGAATGGATTAAGAAATTGTGATATTGTATGTGTGTGTATATATACATACAATGGAGTTTTACTCATTCATAAAAAAAAATGAAATTACGGCATTTGCTGGTAAATGGTTGGAAATGGAAAACATCATGCTAAGTGAAATTAGCCAAACTTAGAAACTCAAAGGTTGAAATGTTTTCTGACATATGCAGAAGCTAGAGTAAAATAAAGGAAAGGGGGAGGGAAGGATAGGATATATACAGAAAGAATCAAATATAAATTAATAGATGAACAAAAGGAAGTCAAATAGAGTACAGGAAGGAGAATGGAAAAGGGGAGGGAGAATGGAGGGGAAAGTGGGAAATCATGAACTGAAATCTGTTTCCTTGCAGGTATGAGTTTGTCAGGATGAACCCAAATATATAACTATAAATTTCTAACAAAAAAGAAAAAAGAAAAAAGAAAGAAAATGCCCTTCTGCAACTGTGGGTTTGTCTTCTTATAACTGTATGTCTATTCATCTCTGCCCCCTACATTTTGAAATTATGCTGCTAGATAYACACAGAAATATTATACTTAAATAAAACTGAATCGAACCTTTTATGATTATCAAGTTTTATCTCTACTTAGATATGTCTGCTTTGATATGAAGATAACTACATCACTCTCATGGCACTACCTGAGACCAATTATTATTCACTTTCTCTTTTGCTTTGTTAAGTGCTCAAACATTTTTTTGGGGGGTGGGGAGCTTTTCTAGTTGTCCTCTGCAGACTGGTTGGTCCCAATGTTTAGTTTATCATGTCTGAAAGGAGTTTGTTCTTATTCATGACTAATAACATGTTTTTCCATCCTTGGTGGGCAACATTCTAGGTACTTTTTAATATTTACATTCTATTTCACTAAATCTCTCTTTAGCTGTGTTTAATCTCCTCTTCTGGTCAGTCTTCTTGATATCTTGTTTCTTGTTCTGATTCCAAGCTTACTTCTTGTTTGTTTATTTTACAGCAGCATTATACTGTTTATTTTTAAAAAGTATATTTAACATATTTATTTTATACTGAGAATCTGATAATTCCAGTCTGGTGCTCCTGGTAATTCTATCTCTTGTGTTGAATGTCTTTGTCTGATTTAGGCTTTTAAATATGAACTGCTGATTTCCCTTGAAACTCTTATCTGTGGGAATTCTTAGAGGCCTGGGCTGAAGTGGCACTCTTCCAGAGAAGATCTGTATTTGCCTCGGCTTGCCTCTTGGAATGCAGCCAACCCGGGAGCACGTTAAATTTAATTCTTGGCTTGAAGACTTCGGGACCTCACAGGCACCATCAGTTTGACTAACTTGCACACAACTGCTCTCATGGTTTAGGAGGAAAATTCACATTTCGTCTTCCCTCATCTGTCCTTAGGGCCAAGGTGAAGACAGGCAAGTTTCCTTACTATACCCTGCACACTCCTGCCCTGACACTGCAGGTTTATTTATCAACCACCTTTATGCTGAGGGCACCTCTCATTAGAATCTCAACCATGGAGAAACATGGGCTGAATTTCCCATCCAGCTGGCCCCAGCAGAACCACTGGGACAATCCACCTTCCATCCTAAATTCCTTGCTTTCATTCTGGTTTTGGTGTCTATGGTTTCCTTTATTTTGTGCGAAAGTAGCAATGCATTTGGAAACATACTTTATAGACATTTTACATCATTTCAACTATTTCCACTGGGAGATTATTCAGAATATTGAATCTGCCCAATTACCAGAAACAGTTTTTAAATCAATTTTCATAAACGGCTAAACTTTGCATGTGAGTTACAATTGTATTTTTTTTCAAACTACTAACCTCAAAAGACTACTCAGCAGGTGATCCACTCAAAGGTAAATTAAATTTTAGTTCACACACAACAAGGCTTTAACAATAAACTCCATACCTTAAAAGAACAATAACATAAAACAGGATCAAGCCATGCAAAGTTTTAAGATAATCAGAAAGGCTCATTTGTTTATAATAAGGATGATGAAACATAATTTTATCAACCATGACATTTGTAGACACAAAATCTTAGTTCAGTGAAATGTCAGATTCCTGAAATATTTTCCTGACAATAAAGCATTTCTTGATGTGAAACCCGTATTTCACTTACTAACCATCTAATGGTTTCTGCCTAAAATGGTCTTGCAGCCAGTGGTATTTAGTGTATACTAAATACCACAAGTATGCACCAGAGGCAAAATCAGGTAGAAATTTCATTCAGGACTGCTGAATACACAGATGCCTCTGAAGATGTGGCACAGGTATTTAAGTAATCAAGTTCCAATGAACACCAAGACTTCACTCTGGTCATTTTCTGTTACCAAATTCTGAAGCAGTAACTCAATTATAAATTCATACTGTGAGTCAAAAGCTCATTCAGAATAAGCAAGCCATAAAATCTGATATACAGTCCAAAATGTAGGCCCTCATGGGGCAGGAAGTTTTTTAAAAAAGCTCATGAAATCCTTTTGCTCTTTGAAATACCGCCTCTGGGTTTTGATAAAGAAATAATTGATGAGAAAAGGTATTTCAATGGGACAATGAGACTCATTCATTTTTGCTACACACAAGGGAGAACCATGTTGATTTAAATGGAAAACAGAAAAATTGCTTTGAAACAAACAGTCATGGCTTAGCTTTGTAACCCTTTCCCTTTTTGCCCATTTTCTCTGAAGTTGTTTTGTCTGTAAGTGTCACTATTCACTCTGAAGCCAAAAGAATTAAATTTCTGAACCTCTCCACATTAAAGTTAAACTTGCTTTTTATAAAGCTGCTTCTTAGTGGGGACTGATTTGTTTACCGAGTGATTAGCTTAAAACAAATCCTCTTAGGCTTTTCCTAGAGCAAAGACATATTTTCATTCCTTTCTTTGAAAATCATCAAGGAGATTAACTGCTTTTCATAGAAAATGATGAAGTTCTCTTAATAGTACTTTAGTGCTTTTTATACTTTATAACAACTATATAGGCTTGACACATCACAATACAATAAACTCAAGGTGTGTGGGGACTGAGGGGCAAGAGGCTGCTGTCCTCTGGCCGGAAGGTCCTCCTTTGTCCTGCTCTGACGCACAGTAATGATTAGAACCCA